AAATTTTTCCTTCAACTTGATAGCATAATGGTATGGAACACCATCACAGGCTACTACCACCTACTTACGGGTTCTATCTTTAATATCTGATATTTCCTCTATATGTAAAAGAATTTTCTCAACGTTTGCAATTGAATTAGGATTAATACCAATCAGGGATATAAATCTCAGGAATATTAACACCCGGATCAGCAATTTGTTGAGTAAAACTGATCTTAGGAACGTGTGTAATATTTTGTTCATTGTCAATTCTATAATATTTAAAAGAAAGAGGTTTAGTTAATTGATTTATCATATTGTCTTCAATTTCAACTGTTTTCTTTTTTTGAAGTTCTGTTAATGTTAGCAGTTGTGTCTCGCATTCTGGACATAATCTTTTTCGATTTTCAATATTTTGCAGATTGCATTCAGGACATACTTTCATTTTGGAAGTATTAATTGGCATGAATGTTATAAGAGAATCGATAGTGTTAGTAGAAGATAATTTTTCTTCAGACAATAATGCAATAACCTCAGCAAGATAGGCATATAGTTCATTATCAATGACTTTTTGTATATCAAGGCTGATATCAAAAATTTCTTCATATTGTGATTTACTAAGAGAATGATATAACCAAGGTGAATTAGTATGCTGAATTTTGTTTTGAGATGCCATATTAAAAGCAACAAAACTGGTAACAATATGATAAATAACAGTATTAAATCTACGATCAAGATAATTCTTGCTCATTATCAAATGCAAAAAACAAAAGACCTTCAGGCAATAGTTCCTCATGCCTTGACAATTCTTCTAACCACTTTTGAAATCAATAATAGCTTTCTGAGCTTGTGATATAGTTGTCAATATTAATAACCATCTTTGATTGTGCAATTGAATATTTAATAGCAGAGGCAGTAAGGTGAATTTCTAATACATATTTTCTATTTCGAGCTCCGTATATAGAATTAATTGCAACAACAACCTTGATTATTTTGAACTAGAGTTTCAACAAATTTAACAATAATTTGGTTATGTTTACTGAGCCATTTATACGGACTATATATCATAAGACTTTTTAAAGAGAACCTATTACTATCATAAATTAATAAATCTATAAAAAAAATTATTAAAAGATTATAAATGTTAAAGATACAATATGCAAGAATTCAAAATTTAAATAATAAACATACTAATATCATTAAATAATGACTCGCATTCTGCTTTTGTTATTTCAACGACTACATCAATACGTTTTTGTTAACTAGAAAACCTTGAATTCCACTGCTCATTAAGAATTTCATTAAGTCTATATTGTTCATTATATAAATTTTGAACTTCAATAACACTATTATAAGTCCTTTGTAATTTGTTTTTTAATTCCTCTATTTCGTTTTTTTGGGCTTCTATATACTGTTGCATTTGTGAGATCTGAGTATTAAGATTTGTTATTATTTGTGATTTTTGTTGACTTTCTACTTGTGTAATCTCCAAAAGCCTTTTAGTTTCATCGAGTTTAATTACTGGATCAATAGAACTAATATGAATATTTAATTATCTTCATCAATATCAAGCCAAGATTTCTTACTTTCTTGAATAGAATCTACAAGATATTGATAAAATTTATTAGTTGCAATTAATTGATTATAATGTTTTTCACAAATAGAGTAAGATTCTAAAGAGTGAAAATTTGAAAGTTCAATAAAATAATTATGATAAATTGAAAGTTTTTCAGCAGTCTTTTGACCATTTGCACTTCGCCATTTTTGTGATTCTTTAGTTTCACAAAGTCGTAGCCTGATCACGCTATATTTTTTGACTAAGTCTGCAAAAATACATAATGGACCTTCTGATCTTTGTTCTTGGTAAGCAGACACTATATAAAAAAGTTTTTAAAATTTTTTTTAGTTAGCCTGACACTTTCTTTACTTAATAGTAACAAGAAAATCTTAGGTCTCATCTACTTTTTTGAAGATAACGAGTTATATGGGATCATTTGGGATTATTAAATTTGATATCTTTTCGTATATTTTTAATAACAAAGTGAATATTGTAAAACTTTTGATCAACAGGACATAAAAAAAGTATAATAGAGCCAATCAAATTCACAGATTTACACATAGCATATTCTAGAAACCAATTTCCAAATTTAGTATATTCCTGGACTGTATTACAGAAGATGATGATATAGACTTTTCTATTAATAATTATAACAAAATACTTCCTTCTTCTTTCTCTAATACAAATATTGATAATAATACTGATGCTAATACAATTATACTAACAATTAAAAATGATATTTCTTCGCATCTATTATAAAAACAAATGCGCAAATAGAAAAAAAATGCATTGAAAGCTTTATCAATCACATTCACTATTCAACAAACAAACACATCTTTATTATCCTTATTTAAAATAATCCTATCTTAACAACTTACATGTCAAATTTAAATTCAACACGTGATGATATAAACACATCTCTTAATTACACTAATCTTAATACAAATGTGTCTATGCATAATACAAATACAGTAATACAAGATAATATTACATACAAAGATGATCTTTAATTTACACTTAATCACATTTATCATATGTTTCCTTCTAATGTAAAAGGTCACATTTTTATCACATTCCTTACTAATATTTTACCTGATGACAATAGATTTGATCAACTAAATCTTATCAATAATTGCTTTACTAAAAACCTGACTTTGTAAACCTTAATTGGAAATTCTACTAATATTTTTATTGAATTTAACAATTGAAAACTTCATCTTAGTGTAATTGATAAAGTTCTTATCACTCGTCTAACGTATCTTTTAACATACTTAATTATGATATCTCTTTTTCTTTTATTCTTAACGCTTCTGTTTATAGACTTAAAGATATTCTAACTAACATTATATAATGATATTATATTAAACAAGCTTTATCTTATTATAGACCCTTTACATATATTAAAGACAAATTCAGAAATAGAATAATTTTTCTCATAAATTATTATTACATTTAAAAGACTCACCAAATCTCATTAACTCAATCTCACCTAAACTCATAATATCGACGGTTTAGTCATACGATATGCTCATATTGATACTTTACTTAAGGAATTCAAAGACAGAAATAATTTTGTAGTTGGTTTTAAAGGATTTTCAAATAAAACTACATCTGTTGAAGCTTTCTGTTCAATATGTTTTTATGAAGCTCGCTCTTGTTATTTTCATAATAACATTGCTTATTTTATATTTTCAAATAAGCTAAATATAAATTAAGCTTGTTTTGTAAGAATCTTATATAATGAATATAAATTAGATGACTGACCTGATGACTGCTAATACAATTACAAAATATGTTCATAACTTTACAACCATTAATTCAATCATAATAAAATTTTATATGCACATATTTTTGAACTGCTGAACAACTTTACATATGTGATTAAAGTTGGTTTCCTTTGACCAAAATACTTAAATTGCTCTTTGAAGTCACTATAAGGATAAAAAATAAAAATAAAAAAATCTGTAAGATAATACAATTATGAAAAACGTATATAATTTTACAACCATTAATTTAATCATAATAAGATTTTATATACATATATTTTCGAACCTGCTAAACAACCTCACATATGCAATCAAAGTTGATTTTCTTTGACCAAAATACTTAAATTTCTTTGAAGTTACTGTACAGATAAAAAATAAAAATAAAAAAATTTGTGAGATAATACAATTACAAAAAATGTACATAACGTTACAACTATTAATCCAATCATAATAAAATTTTATATGCACATATTTTCGAATCCGCTTAATAACTTTACATATGTGACCAAAGTTGATTTCCTTTGGCCATAATACTTAAATTGCTTTTTGAAGTTACTATACTGATAAAAAACAAAAATAAAAAATTCATAATATAAATATGTAAAACGTACATAACTTTACAACTATTAATCCAATCATAATAAACCTTTATATATACAGATTATCGAACCCATTGAACAACTTTACTTATGAGACCAAAGTTGATTTTTTTGACCAAAATGCTTAAATTGCTGTTTGAATTCACTAAACGAATAAAAAAAATAAAAATATTTTGTGAGATAATACAATCATGAAAAACATTTATAATTTTATAACTATTAATCCAATCATAATAAATATTTATATAAACATATTTTCGAACCTGCTAACTTTATTTATGCAATAAAAGTCAATTTTCTTTGACCAAATTGCTCAAATATCTCTTTGAATTAGATAAAAAAAATTAAAATTAAATTGTTGAACAATGTAATTGTAAAATGTTTATAATTTAAAATTTAACTTTTTGATTATAATAAATTACAAAATAATTATATAAACAACTTTATTAGAATATAAAAAGATGTTTTAAAAAAAAAATAGATAAACAAAAAATTTATTTTAAATATTTTATTTCATTTAATTTGATTGGTTATCCTGAATTTTATCAGGTCAGATCATAAGCTTGACCTGATCTAATATTGACCTGAAAATTTTTTAACTTAACCTGGATTTTTCAGATCAAAGGTTACAGGTTAACCTGACCTGGTTCGAAGCTCCAATCTTATTCTATTTAAAGTAGTATTGTATAATTATTTAAAGAAAGTTATAAAAATTAATTTTATATTATAATAATAAGTTACAACCATTGTAATTAAATAATTACTTTAATTTTACTTAATAAAATTTATAAAAAAAAAACTTTATATTGCTAATTCAAATTTTTATTTTTATTGTTTTATTTTATTATTATTATTATTATTATTATATAAACAGTCAACTCTTTATAAATATACCCATTGGAATTGAACAAAATCATGCATTTATATAGAGTGTGCATTTATAAAAAAGTATATTATAAAAGTATAAAAATTTTTATTATAAGATAAAATTTAAATAAAACATCCATACTGAGAGTATGTTGTTTAAACATAAACGAGCATTAACAAAGTGTCAGAGAATTTTATGCATTTTGTTGCCTAGATGTTTAAGTATTTCATTTAAAATTCCAGATGATCAGATGCTTTACCATTAGGAAGATTGTGTAAGATGTTGGTCCATTCGTCTTTAGAAAGTGAATTCATTAAAGTATCAAAAATAAAGTGATTAATATTTTCTTTAGAAGCATATTGATGTTGCCATTCTTCTGGGATTACTTTGGATTCATAATAGTTATTTAGTACTGCTAAGTTTTGAAAATGATTAATAGCGGCTGATTTAACAGTATCAGGTTCAATTAAAAGTCTGGTAGATGAATCAGGAAGGGTAATGAGAATATGGTCTAAGATGATTTTTCTTTTTCGATCTAAAGCTGAATTTATAACTAAATTTTGATTAGATTGATAATTAAGGTAACGTTGACGGATGTATTTAATCATTTGTTCTTTTGAATATTTTTTTTCTTCTAAAGAGACCTTTGTAATAAGTAATTTAATGAGAAATTTGATAGAATGTCTAATGAGCATATAGTTATCATGTCTTTGTGATTATGAAATTTGGCTATTGAGTTGAGTTTGTTGTGATAGTGATGCCAATCTTCATTGGAGATAAAATTATTATCATAAATGCGTTTATGATAAAAGATTTTAAAAATTTTGTTTAAGCATTTAATATGTAGATAGATTTTGTGTATGTTCTGAAGTGCTTTTGTGATAAGGAATAGATGAGGATGCGGCAGATTTGATGTGTTGTTGAATGAGACCCCAATAATAATTTAAATCTCATTAGTTATTAATAGAAGAAGAATTTATTTTGTTAAGATCAGAGGAGAGGGTGTGATTGTTGGTTTTTTTTTATAAAATCATTCCAATTTTCAATAGAAGTTTGATCATAATCGAAAATAATTTTGGTAACGTTTTGTTGTCTGAGTTTAGCTTGAGATTTGTGATTAAAAATATAGTCAAAAAGAGTTAAATGTATTAGCTTATGATCACTTTGGTATAGATCAGTAGATTCATGGTCTAGGTGAATTAAAGAATTGAGAAGAGAGAAAGAAATGAAGATAAAATCAATCCAATCCGGCTTTGAGAGTTGTGAGAGAAGAATGTAAACATAGGATTGGATGGGAAATATCATGACAGATTTGTGGTATCATGAAGGTCTAATTGTTTAAGAGAAGATAGGAAAGAGAGTTTCTTTGTGTGCAGATTTTAGAGAATATGGAGGAGGTTTTTCAGGATGGACATTAAAGTCACCCATGAGAAGAATTATGTGATAATGTTTAGAAAGAGCTTGGTTGATTAATTCTATGATTTTTTTTTCAACTTTTGTCCGTTAAATTTGTATTATGCGTAAGTTTTATTTGCCTTTGGTGTGTAAATCTACACACATAATTCTACCAAAATAGCCTTTATGGTTAAAAATATGTTTAGCTATGTTTGATTTAAAAATAAGACCAAAGCCTGAACCCAAATGTCGTTGATTGTTTGAATGAAAAAAATATTTGAAGGATCCTCTGAAGAGAGGTTCATTGTGGTTGGAGAAATATTTAGCTTTAGAAGTCAAGGAAGTTTCAGAGATACCAAAAATGGCAAAATTAGAAAGCTGCATATATTGTAGAAGTGAGTGTTGTTTAGGGGGTTGTATTAAAGAGTGAACGTTATATGTTGCTATATTTAATTTATTAATAGTTGGAGGAGTTGTAATATTGTCAGTCACTTTAATGTTATCAGTATTATTATGATCCATATTCATTTAATATTTATGGTGAGGATTAGTGTCGTTATGTGGGGGAATAAATGAGGAAGAAGAGGATGAATTATCTGTGATTTTTAAGTTGTGATAAAATGGGTGATTGAGTAGAATGGAGTTCTTCTTGTTATTGTGTAAAAAGATTAGATTATTCTTGAAGGGAAGTAAGTTGGTTGCTAGCAACATGAAAATGTGGATCAATTGTAGTATCAAGATCCATATTAGTTTTCAATGGGTGATTAAAAGAGGAGGTAGTATCAGCAGGTATTGAGTGAGTATAGAAGATTCAATAAGGGCAAGACAATCATTATGCTTACTGATTTGATTACTAAGAAGTTCAAATTTAATGTTAAGTTGGAAAATTGCTTCAGCAATTGACCAAGACAAGTTTGGATGTGATTGGATTGATTGTTTTCAGGAGTACAATCAAATGAAGGATCAGGTGGTGGATTAAAATTAGAGGACTCATTGTTAGAGTTGTTAGAAAGGACGTTTGCAAAACTTCGTTGATTATCATATGAATTGGAAGAGTAGGGTGGACGGGTTTTGGGAAGTGGGGATTGATACGCTTGAGGTTTAAAACAATTATATAAAGAGGAAGATTTAGGAGGTTTGGGATTTTTACGGGTGTCATTATGTCTAAAATTACAATCTTTAGTAGCATGATTAGGATCTGTCCAATAAAGAATACGGCCTTGAAACTTAAAAGTAGGGGAATAGGCAAGTTAAATAATGTCATCTTCATTTAAGAAATTAAAAAAAGCCACATTGATTGGATTGTAATTTCTATCTCTAGGAATAACACAAGTTTTTGCTTTAATTTGTGTAAGGATTGGGAGAAGGTCACATGCTGAGGAGCCACAGGGAAAGCCAGATAATTTAAGGCAATATTGTGTCTATTATCTAGTTGTTGATCAGATAGATTGAGAGGAAAAACACGAATGCTATCATTGATAATCATAAAATGATGTGATACTTGCAGGATCTTTAAATACAATGTATGCATGTTGCCATTTTCCATTGAGGCTGAGGCTGATCCTTTCCCAAGTAGATTTGATAGGTATTGCGGCAAACGGAGAAATAGCAGAATATCGAGTAAGTTTAGGAATTTTAATAAAAGTATTATCATCGGTGGTAAGAGGAGGGGTATTGATGTTGTCTACATTCATGTCATTTTCATTTGATTTGTTAGAATTATTTCTGTTGTTAGGAGAATGTTGGGAGTGTCATTGTTAACTGGAATAATAGAAGTTAAGACAGGTTCAGTAGGAATAATGGGGATTAGGATAGAAGTAGAAGATTCTTCAAAGTCCATTTCTTTGGATGGGCTAGCAGTTTGTTGCATTTTACATGGTCCAAGTGGAGAGGAGTATTCAGTCACTTTCTGGTTTTTCAGTTTCTTTGGAATTATTATCTAAGTCAGATTGTTATTGGAGTTAAGCAATAACATTAGCAAATAGGTTTTTATTTCTTTTTCTAGAAGGCTTTTTTTTGAAGAACTCATGTTTTCAATTTCATTTTCGTCTGCAGCAGTTTGCAATAAATGGACGAGGAGAAAGAAGAAAGAAGTTTTTTTTAATTTTATCACATTTTGCAGATCATTTTTCCAATCATTTGCCGACCATTTTTCATTTTATCACATATAATAAACACTGTAAAAATTAAAGATGAAGCTGTAATTAATTTTAAAATTTTTAACTAGTTGCAACTATTTATGAATTTTTATATTAAAATAAATTTTACAAGGAGTTGCAACCAGTTGCAACCCAAGTTGCAATTTACCGAGTTGCAACTTCTTAATTACAGTACCATCTTTAGTAAAAATGATTTTTATTGAAGTTAATTAGCTCCGAATGGCTAAAATCAATTTATTATTTAAGTAAATTAGCTCCGATTGAAAATTTTACATAATAATATATACTAAAATTTTACATATAAATATATATCATTATGTAGTATTCTAATATTAAATTTACTAAAATTGAACTAATATTAAGTAAATTTTACTAGTAACAACTTTTACAATTTAATTTTACAATTATTAATTAAATTTATTAAATTAAAATTTTATTTGTATAAATTATATGCTATCATAATTAAGCCATTGTTAATACATTGCCTTGACACCTCAAGCTCAGCAATAGCTTTCTCCCTTTCTCTAAATTTACAATCATGATTACTACAAATAATAATTATCACATTAATATTAATCATAATATGTTTTCATCCCCTACAAATCTCTTCAATGTGAACACAAAAATATTTCAATTTACGACACCTTCCTTCATATGAATACAGATTTTGTTGGATTACAAGAAACATGGCATAAATCTGATCAAGTATATCACTGTTCACGCGATCCTAATTATCTTTTCTTTTGGAGCACTCCGAGCTGGTGTTGGTCTTTTAGTTAATCAAAATTGGGTCAAATATATTCAATGCTCTTTTTTATAGAATGACAGATTCATTTTTATAGCCTGGCCAAACTAAACTTAGAGTTTTTAATATCTATCTACATGCCTCCACAACTGCTAATAAACGATCTGCATGACTTCAATTGCACAAACTTATTCTTGATCACATCAAAGATAGGCCAAAAAACAATTTCATAATAATAATCCTTAGTGACTTCAATGCTGACCTTAATAAATATTGGTCTTACATAGAAAATAGAACTACTCTCCCCTGGAAATATGGATTCTATGATAAAAACTCTTTGCCCTTAATTTCCTAGATTTATATGATGTTTGTCATGACTCACCCCAACCCACCTTCCATCACACGTTATTCCAATCTAGAATTGATACTATTTTTGCCTCATCTAATCTAATTTCTGACTTTCTCTATTCTGATATTGAATCACCTGAACTCTACTTCTCTGACCACAAAATTGTTTATGCTCACTTTGCTGATATCAAAAGACCCAGCTCAGCTTGATCAAGATTGAATCAAAACAAGCGTCAAGTTTCTAACCTCAGAGCCATGAATTCAACCAGATAGAACAAATTCACAGATCACACAGATTTTCTTTACCATAACCAAAACCTCCAATGACTCAAAGATCTCTCACCTTCACTCTTGAATATGAACCATTTATGGACTGAATATCAACTGCTATCTTGACAGCTAACAGAAAATGTATACCACAGCTTTGGATCTTTCCAGTAAATAAAAATGCTCCATTTTATAAATCATCTGATGCCACAGTCGCTACAAAACAAATCAACTCTATCCTTCTCAAACTTAAAAATAAATTTATCCAATATCAACAATGGCCAAAGATGAAAGTTGAAATGACATCATTAGTACTATATCAAAGATACAAAAATATTTGATCTTTCCTTGTTTGATTTTTCTGCATCTATTGATCAATCTAACATTATTGCTATTAAAGCATATCTAAAAGATACACACAAAACATTACTTAGTTATGCTAAAATAGAATTGCAAAAATTAAAAGAATTATCTATTAAAATGATCGATTCAATCCTAAATAGAAAGAAAAGATCGATTAGCATGGCTAACTCCAATGATAAATACTTTTCCATTGATCCTACTGAGATTAAAAATGCAGCTATCAATCACTTTCAAAACTATACTTTACTAACTGAAGCTGAATGCCCTCTCAATACCAGATGGACAAACCAATATTAACCACAAGATCACATTGATTCTAATGTATATAATA